TAATAACGCTTCAATATACTAAATTATTTGTTTTTTTAAGCTCTACAAAATGGTTTGGAAAGAAATTTCTAAATTTTATGTTTTTTGGGTAAAAAATGGGAAAACCCTATTTTTACCCCATAAAACCCCCCGTAAACCCCCGTTCCCATGGTCCGATCATGCTGGATTGCGAACTCGTTCGAATAAACGTAGGTTTACACGTTTGTACCAAATTTCATCAAAATCGGATCATTTTTGCTCGAGTTATCGTGCTAACGGACACACACACACACACACACACACACACACACACACACACATATATATATATAAATGCAAGAAAATAATATATATATATATATAAATCTATCTATCTATATATTAATAGGCAAGCATGTTTCTTTAAACCCTTTTTTCTCAGCTCGTGTGCATCGTGGGGTAAATCTACGCATACCGTTAGAAAGCTATTTTCCTGTAGGTGTGCAGAATCCCTTTATAAATTTAAATAGGCTCAAAGATAAGCACAAAAAATGAGTTTGAAAATTTGAAAAAATTAACATGGATTTTATGCGTTGCCATGCTGGTGACGAAATAACAACGAAATATAAACAGAAAATCAAAACAAATGGAAGAAACTCCAATCACATGTTTTATTTACAGTGTGGGGTGAAAATAGAGAAGTGAGTACATTACATATTTTTGGTCGAGTTTCGACCACTGGACGACCTCTCGTCTATATATTAATAGGCAAGCATGTTTCTTTAAAACCTTTTTTCTCAGCTCATGTGAATCGTAGGGAAAATCTACGCATACCGTTGGAAAGCTATTTTCCTGTAGGTGTGCAGAATCCCTTTATAAATTTAAATAGGCTCAAAGATAAGCACAAAAAATGAGTTTAAAAATTTGAAAAAATTAACATGGATCTTATGCGTTGCTATGCTGGTTACGAAATAACAACGAAATATAAACAGAAAATCAAAACAAATGGAGGAAACTCCAATCACATGTTTTATTTACAGTGTGGGGTGAAAATAGATAAGTGAGTACATTACATATTTTTGGTCGAGTTTCGACCACTGGACGACCTCTCGTAATATATTAATAGGCAAGCATGTTTCTTTAAAACCATTTTTCTCAGCTTGTGGGCATCGCAGGAAAAATCTTCGCATACTGTTAGAAAGATATTTTTCTGTAGGTGTGCAGAATCCCTTTAAAATTAAAATAGGCTCAGAAATAAGCACAAGAAATGAATTTGAAATTTGAACAAAATTAACATGAGCTTTATGGGTTTCCATGCTGGTGACGAAATAACAAACAAATATAAACAGAAAATCAAAACAAATTGAAGAAACTCCAATCACATGTTTTATTTACAGTGTGGCGTGAAAATAGAGAAGTCTGTACATTACAAATTTTTGGTCGAGTTTCGACCACTGGACGACCTCTAGTCTATATATTAATAGGCAAGCATGTTTCTTTAAAACCTTTTTTCTCAGCTCGTGTGCATCGTAGGGAAACTCTACGCATACCGTTAGAAAGCTATTTTCCTGTAGGTGTGCAGAATCCCTTTATAAATTTAAATAGGCTCAAAGATAAGCACAAAAAATGAGTTTAAAGATTTGAAAAAATTAACATGGATCTTATGCGTTGCCATGCTGGTGACGAAATAACAACGAAATATAAACAGGAAATCAAAACAAATGAAAGAAACTCCAATCACATGTTTTATTTACAGTGTGGGGTGAAAATAGAGAAGTGAGTACATTACATATTTTTGGTCGAGTTTCGACCACTGGACGACCTCTCGTATATATAAATAGGCAAGCATGTTTCTTTAAAACCTTTTTTCTCAGCTCGTGTGCATCGTAAGGAAAATCTACGCATACCGTTAGAAAGCTATTTTCCTGTAGGTGTGCAGAATCCCTTTATAAATTTAAATAGGCTCAAAGATAAGCGCAAAAAATGAGTTTAAAAATTTGAAAAAAATTACATGGATCTTATGCGTTGCCATGCTGGTGACGAACTAACAACGAAATATAAACAGAAAATCAAAACAAATGGAAGAAACTCCAATCACATGTTTTATTTACAGTGTGTGGTGAAACACTGGACATTACTCGTATATATAAATATATATATATATATATATATATATATATATATATGAATTTGGACGGATGGTGTTTTTGGCCTCTAGGGACTTCAAAACGAAAAAAAAATCGGTCCCGCGTCCAGGTCTTACCATGAGTACTACGGTAATAGCTTATTCCCTATATGGGAAATTCGCTAAAATCATAATATTGCGTTAAATTTTCCATACAATTATTCAATAAATTTGGGATTATTCCATCTTTTAGCAAATATCTCTTTACATTCCCATCTATAACTGTGTCATTATGGTAAGAAATAGGCACTGAAGTGTTTCGTTTTCATTTACAGGTCCTTAGCACTATTTTTCCAGAGACATCAGACAGAACTAGTGGAGTACAACGCATTAGTATTCTACTGAAGACGTCGTAGAACAAAAGACAATTAGGAAAGTATAGAAACTGCAGAGAATTCTTGGGATTGCTACAAGCTGTGGGGATGTTGAAATACACCAAAGTAATTCTGTCTCCTAGATACTTATCTTTTTGAAAAACTAAGACTGCAACCCCACCCATAATTGCATTAACCCACCAAATAATTAGTAACTAGAGGTCGTCCAGTGGTCGGAAACAGTCTTCTGTTTTCAGCCCCATCCTGTAAATGAAACATGTGATTGGAATTTCATCAATTTGTTTGTATTATCTGTCTATATTTAGTTGTTATTTCGTCACCATGGCAACTCATAATGCCAAAATATCTTTCCAACAGTATCCGTAGATTTTCCGTGCGATGCACACGAGCTGAGAAAAAAGTTTTCCAAGAAACAAGCTTGCCGATTACTTATACAGGGTGAATAAAAAGTCAAGACCCCCCCCCCACTAATATTTTTCCAAGTAAATATATCCTTTTGATGGTCAAGCAATCTTAGCAGGAAGTTTCATTTTATCATTTTGAAATTTTTGACTGTCCCCCAAAAGGGGGGATTTGGGGGGCAACTCAAATATTTTAAATGTAAACCCCCTTCAAGTGACACCTCATTTTAAAGTGTTTACAAAAACTTAAAGAATGGTGAAAACTAGAGGTCGCTATCTCTTCTCTATCCAAAATAGTAGCCCGTCAAATGTTGTGGAAAATCAATGGTAAAATTGTTAATATTGGCTGCCATTTTGGATAGAGAAGAGATAGCGAGCTCTGGTTTTCACCATTCTTTAATTTTTTTTAAACACTTCAAAATGAGGTGTCACTTGATAGGGGTTTCTATTGAAACATTTTTAGTTGTCCCCCGAATCCCACCTTTTGGGGGACACTCAAAAATTTTAACCCCCTTCAAGCGACACCTCATTTTGAATGAGGTGTCACTTGAAGGGGGTTTACTTTTAAAATATTTGAGTTGCCCCCCAAATCCCCCCTTTTGGGGGGACAGTCAAAAATTTCAAAATGATAAAATGAAACTTCCTGCTAAGATTGCTCGACCACCAAAAGGATATCTCTGTATATTTACTTGGAAAAATATTAGAGGGGGGGGGGGGTCTTGACTTTTTATTCACCCTGTATAGATAATAGCAAAATGTTACAATGTAAATCACTAATTAACAAATTTCTTGATCTTGTTTACTTAGCTCAACTTCGTCACATAATCGCTGGTGACTCACGAATAAGAAACTGCTGGATAAGCTTTAATGTTCTTGATAAGCAATGTTGATTCTGGCACGAACTTGAGTGTCGATGCATGGTAGATTAGACTTGCTTAGTTACTGGAATGAGAATTGAAATTAGAAATGTCACAAAATAACAAAGTATTTGTAGTTGAAACGCACTTGAGAACTACTGTGTTTAGCTATTAGGGAATTAGCCACCCACTAAATCCATAATGATTCAATTATCGTAATTTAAAGTTAGTAAAAGTTAGTAGTACTAAAAAACATCACAGGACAAAGATGTATTGTATTTGCTGCTGTTCCATTTAAATCTAAGAAGTGTGTGCATCGACTTTGGATAGTAAAAGTAGACTTCTCATCCTAGGATAAAATGGAAGGCCTTTATATGTGTTTCGTTTGAGTGTACTTTTCTCTTCATTTAAGGTGGATTGTTTTTTTTTTTATTGCTATAGGGTAATTGATAACCTATTAATGTATGTGATTTGTTAATTTAGCTTTAAAACAGTAAAATTACAAGAAATAATATACATTAATGTAGGCTATCTAAACCGGTAAACCAATCTTAAAACTGTCTTCAGCTGATCCATGACGATGGTAAATCTTTAAAGAGAGTGTTACCTTTGACAATGGTAGAACTAGATAAAGCAATCCTGTGTTAAAATTGAGGGTGTGTTAATAGCCTAGAGGTAAGCGTCTCGGACTTCGATGTGGGAGAAACGGGTTCGATTCCCGGCACATCCACAAATAAAATGTGGATTTGGACAGCTTTCCCAAAAAGCGATTGTGTACTCTATCCAACATCTGTTCCAAAAACTGCCACCGGCGTGGACATCGATGAAAAAATATATAAGCCAGTTTTTTTTTATAAAAACGAATGTAGTTCAATTGAACCACCAGCAGCGATAATTTAAATTACTGATTTCTTTCGAATTCACCAATTATTAACCGAGCCATACTGAATATAACAACTCTTAGTAAACCATTGCATCTTTTATGCCAAGTTTGACTTTCTGAGAAACAAAATCTAAGAAAAAGGAAATTCTGAATGTAGTACACTTTGTGAGTGATTAATTAACTATTCTTTTTAATGAAAATTTAGCATCAGCAGGTCCATTAATATACTGTATAAGGGATATTTACTTCAGTATCCAAAAGTCATTGTTTTGGCGTGGACCGCTCTACAGCCAGACCCCCTCCACACCGCACCAACCAACTCTCGGCGTGGTCCTACACTAGTCAGTTTAGCACTAGCAGTCAGTCAGTCTCTCAGTCAGAGAGAGTCAGTAGTCACTAGTCAGTCAGTCTGGTCTGGTCGCGAGTGTCATGTGCTGGGGACATTAACACATTCAACACTAGGCTACTGTAAACATTGGAAACAGGTGAGTGTTTATGTTGAAGTTACAACGTCAGGTGTAGAGTTACTTTACGTTACTTTATTAAGTAGCTTATATTTAAATATTTCAATCTTATGGGAATTTCATACCAATTAATAAAATTACATTATACTATAGCTCATCAGTGGCAAAAAAATCGACCAAAAGTATGTATTTTTGCAAACTGGCCCATGTTATTTTTGTTTTATTTTAAATTCATTTTGTGCCTATTTTTGAGCCTATTTTGATTTATAAAGGGATTTTTCACATATACAGGCAGAATATCTTTCCAACAGTATGCGTAGATTTTCCCTGCGATGCACTCGAGCAGAGAAAAAAGGTTTTCAATAAACACGCTTGTCTCTTTAATATATCAAATTAGCCCCATATTAAATCTACTTAAGAAAAGTGGAATTTCCATTGTTGACCCAATTAACATAAATACTCTCAAAACACAAATAAAACCTGCACATAATAGGACCGATAACCTATATTTTGTTACAACCCGCGTGTAAATCGGTCCAGTAGAATAGTCAGGTAAAACTGTCATAAGTTTTGAAAAATTTTTGTAATATGTCAAATTTTAAAACTTGTGAAATAAATTTTAGAACAAACTGAACAAAAAAATCGTTGTCTAGGTTTTAAACGGGTTGAAAGTAGCTCATTTAAGCGTTTTACTGACATCTCCAACTAATTTTTATAATCGACCCACAGTAAAACATAATTAAAAACCCTATAAACTAGAGTGTGTATATAACAACAGTACTTAATTTGAAAGACCTAACACTGCACCTAACTTGTTTCTATGTATTTGTTTAGTCGTTTGCGCTTAACGGTGTATTTATTTATTATTTATGTCTGTGCGGTTGCCATTTCCCGGTTGTTGTATTCAGCAAAATTTAAATACCTCCGCCGCAGCAAACCTGCAGACTAAGCGAATTTCCATTTACCTGGCTGGTTTTCTACTAAAACATTCCCTAAAAATTCTCAGATTTGTATTCTATTTAAACAACATTAATTTCAGTGAGTACTTAGGTTTGCTGCTACAGGGAACATATTGAGGTATTTTTTTTAACGTTGATAGCTTAGTATGAAATAAACAAAATTTCAAAATTTTGTTAAAATATATACATAAACAAGCAAACTACAACAGTTTATATTTTCTCCATAAGAATAACATAGCAATTCTAATTTAACTTTTTTATTATCTCCGTAACAGTTGGTCATACAACAACGCTTCGATGTAAACAATTATTTCTTTTTTAGGCTCTACAAAATGGTTTGGAGAGAAATTATGACATTTTTTTCAGGGTCAAAATGGGAAAAATCTATTTTTACCTCATAGAACCTCCCATAAACCCCCTTCCCATAGTCCGATCATGCTGATTCGTGAACCAATTTGAATAAACGTAGCTTTATACGTTTGTACCAAATTTCATTAAAATCGGATCATGTTTGCTCGAGTTATCCTGCTAACAGACATGTATATGTGAATTTGAACGGATGGTGTTTTTGGCCTCTAGGGACCTAGAAACGAGAAAGTAAATCGGTCCCGGGTCTAGGTCTTACCATGAGAAATACGGCAATAACTTATTCCATATATAGGAAATTCGCTAAAACAGTTTGAAAGGATGACAAATTACTGTACAACAAAGAGTATAGCAATCCTAATTAAAACGAAACTAAAAACGTTCCAATACTCCCGTAATCACGACTGTCATCTTAAAAATACACAAACGATACCGTACGCAAGATTTAAAATGAGTTTGTTCATTTGCCGCATACCTCACATAAGGCAATTATATTTATTTTATGTATGTGACTATAATATTTCATAACGTACTTTCAATATTATAGAAAATGTAACAATAAACTGCTTTTTATGAAGAATCTTTCTTGGCCAGAAAAATAATATGTTGCTTTGAAATTTTTAAATCATACGAAGTAATTGACCCTTTTAGTAATCAATTGCTATAAGGATGCTATAACAGTCCCCCCAAGACATTTCTTTTCTACATTTTTTTTCATATCAATTGACTCATGAGAAGTTTTTCGCCACACTGCTTTAAAAATAACTGTTTTTTACACATGCGTTGAGATTCAAAAGTTCATCTTCTTAGTCATTGGAACATAATGTTTTGATCCAAATCGAACCGAGTCCAAATCGAATGTTTATTTTGAAGAACAACGGATTGATTCGAACCACAATAATTTGAATTCATCGCCTTGACAACCGATATTATGAATGAACCGAAGTTTGTGCAACAGCTGATTGTTTCAAGAGACAAGTTGAAAGAAACATTTGAGGTTATGAAGACACAGTACGTAAAACTTTTGTTTTTATTTAAACCTATTTTTTTGGGAAGTATGACGAAAAATATAGTTTTAAATTATAACTAGCTGTGTACCCGTTCTACGCACGGGGATCTTATAATATTCAGTTGAAACCTTCTTATATAACGAACAGCAGTTGGTTTGCATATTTTAAGATATGCTGGCCAAACTATTATACATAGCTTCATTTTATGTTGTTTTTTGTTGTTCCGGATCGGTATGACAATCAATAAAAGGTTAAATTACCTCTGTGTCTGCCGGTCGATCCTATAACGGTAGGCTTACTTTTATTTTTACTATCTGATCTCGTTTGCATGGCTCAATCACGTCCTGGTTGAAGTTCGTTCGCTACGCTCACTCACCTGTATGTTGGAGCTCGTTCGCTGCGCTCACTTTCCTTCAGGTTAGCTCGTTCGCTACGCTCACTTGCCTTCAGGTTAGCTCGTTCGCTACGCTCACTCGCCTCCAGGTTGCAAATTAGCTGTTGTCATAAATGTAAAAGAAATAATAGTGCTAGTGCTGCACCCTGTTGGTAATCCTTGTAACTTTAATGCTATTGAACATCACAGAACAGAACCAACTTGTTTAATTGAAACAGCTGTTAAGATTCAATAATTTCATTTCTCATAAGGTTAACATGGGCTTCCAGAAATTCCACGTCAAAAATCGACAAAAACTTGATTTTCAAGGGTTTACTGTTAAATATCTAACTGTCTCATATTCGATGAAATACGTCTAAAACCATCTCATATATGTATAGTATTTGGAAAATAAGTTTCAGGCGGGACAGTGCTATAGTTATTGAGGAGTAGTTGTAATAAAGTGCGTATTTTAGCGTTACCAAGAGAATGACAGATAGACAGACAGACAGACAGACAGACAGACAGACAGAAATTGAGATAAGGTTTGATTCGGTTTCTCTGACTTATGAAATGTAAAAATAACCAAAAAGTTCATTATTCTAAGCAATGTACAGACAAAACTCTAATTTTATTTATATAGATGAAATAACACCCATATCTTCTGTCTTTGAATATCAGTTGTTCGTTACACGTTACACATACCACGCTGGCTCTAATAGTATCCTATATGTTATCCCCGCGCAAAACCCCATAGAGCTGATAAAAACCTTATCTAAGATCAGTTGGTAAATTTGCAGTAACCTCCTCGTAGCATTGTCATTGTCACTACTTTGGAGTTCACAGTGTCAAAGTCCTGTTGCATCAACATTTCTCTTGGTATCCTGCCAATGCTGCCTAGCCCACGGTACATCTGGGTCAATGGCTGCATGCTAGCTGCTCCTTGCTAACTCGTCTGTTAACGGTGCTGTCAGTGTCGGCCATTAGATATCAGCTGATTACAACAATTACTACCAGCTGATCTGGAACCGGAAATCATCCATTGTCCACTACAATCTGTTCGATCGTGCGATAGCGTTATTGTTTCGAGAAGAGATTTCTTTAATCGGGTTTCTTTATGGGTTTAAAAGTTGGAAAGTGTGTTGGAAACAAGTAGCTGTACAAATTGTTAAAGAAGTAAGTAACTTAATGATCAAAACTAATCAACTAGCAGTGTCATATACAAGGGGATGAGAATACAGTAGTAACTTTTGGCAGTATTTAATCTGTTGTTCTTGTTACCACTACTTAGACTCTATTCATAAAATAAGAACTTGATAATTTTATAATGTTGTGTGTTGAGTTATTTTGACTTCTTCTCTGTGGTGCTGAGGTTGCATGCGATTGGTCTCATGGTTTCGTACAGGCCTTCTGTCCTGAAAACCTGGGTACGAATTCCGTTAATCGTAAAATTCGCTGCATGAAAGTGACGTTACTACTATTAAATGTGACAAGGACTGTTTATATTGATGATATCCCTCTCCGAGACTTTACTGGTTAATTGTTTTTTAAGTAATCTGTGCTATATATGTACAAACAGGTAAATAAAAACGTTTGATAAAAGATTCATATATCCATTATGATACACGTTCAAACAATACTAGTTTAACTAGGAATACGAAACCACACGAATGGAATATAACTCTTAACACACCGTTTTGATATGACGAACTGGTTATCAGTGTACGGAGGACCGACGATCACGGTAATGCTGTAACTATGAAAGAATGGTAGAGGAATGCTAAATGCTGATGCATGCTAATCTAACTCTGTTCTGAGGTGGCGCAACTCGTGTTAACGTTACGGACAGACTGTCACTGTTTAAAGATCGTTTCTGTTTGGACATGATTACGAACTTCATATAGAACGAAATAATCTTATCGTATGAGACCATGTCACCAGTAAACCAGCGATTCGTAATTTCTTACTCACTCAGTGCATGAATGAGTTGTATGACGTGTGACAACTTACGTTATCATAAACCAAACAAACAACTACCAAGTTTAACTCGAATATAAAGAAGACCAGTAAATGCTTAACAAATGACACACTGAGCCAAATAAATTTAATTTGATAAATGAACTACAGAGACCATGACACATTCTAACTTGAATGGATGGTGGTTGAGGGGTTGTAAAAGTTATCTTATAAGAAATATAGATAAATACTGTTAGAAAATTCTACCTTTCTATAATTATTTTCCTTCGCGTCATTTATTGATCGTTGAATGTCCAAAAGAATGTTATTGACGTTTCCTAATAAACTATGTACTTC